CACTTTCATCCTCCAAAAAATTATTGTTCCTTTTCTTCACTAAGCAAAAATTCATCTTGATCTCAGCCCAATTTGGGTTTCTTTCAAGTGCCACCAAAAGGCTTTCCTCATGAGCATTCTTCAATGCCGTCTTTACTTTCAAGCATTTCATTACTGAGGCCCTGGAGGTAGGGGCATGGGTTTTTAGATGAACTGCCTTATTTCAGTCCAATTTGTGGTAGTGACATTAAAGAGAAAAACAAATACACCATGATGGACAACTCTGACAGAGTCCCACAGTCTCTGCAAACGTGGTGGGATGAATGTGACTGCATGAACATCAATACGTCACATAAAACTGTAATGTCAGTCTTGCGAGGAGGGGCTTCGCTTGCTGAAACAAGCGGTGACGCTGGAGAGGCGCAGCTGGCAGGAACTGAGGGTGGCCTCTAGCCGACAGCCAGAACTGCCGCCCTCGGCCAACAGGCGTCAAGGGACTGAATGCCGCCAAGAACCGTGTAAGCTTGGACGTGGATTCTTCCCCAGTCGAGCCTCAGATGAGACCACTGCCCAGGTCAGCACCTTCACTAACTTTGTAAGAGTCTGACACAAAGGACCCTGCTACACAGTGGCACACACAGAAACCACGTGATGATACACTGTGTTATTTTAGGCCACTGTATTTGTGTAATGTTGCTATGCAGCAACACATACTAAATTCACAGAGAAAGAGAAAAGCAACCCTGGTATCTGAGAGCCAATCTGGTACTCTCAGCAAGGCCCTGGTGTTGCTGGGAGCTGGGCTGCATTCACACTAGGCTTTTGGGTTAAATATAAACAACTCCAGAGGACATCAACATCAGATAGGGTCACAAGGATCAAGGAAAAAAACATGACCACTCTGTAATGTTTGTATATGGGCAAAAACATGAACACTGTTCAAATTCCCTAAATGATCAAACATCCCCTTATACTGGCTAATGTGAACATAGAGTTTTAGCCTTGATTCTTTTCCCTCGGCCCACAGAGAAGATTTCTTTAGATACTCATTCACCGAATTATCCCTCCCGAATGCATCTAACACAGAGCAAAGCTCCACTTTCTCTAATCTTCCCCTAAATCACCTAAAAGAACTCTGAATCCTGAAGTCTTTTCTAAGGCCTCCTTACTGAGATGTATGGTTCCCCACTGCTGTGTGGTCTCCTTCACTACAACCAGCGATAAACCCAGCTGGTCTAACTGGGTGTGTTCCCAGAGGTCTTTGACTGGAGGACGCTGACAACAGCAAACAAAGCAAAGCAAGAAAAACAAAAAGCAAACATGATTTTCTCATGGCATGTGCATAAAAACAGAAGCACAAACCAAGAAAATACAGAGCTTAAATTAGATCTAAAACACAAAAAAATAACAAAGTATCTCCAAGTTGAGTATAAAGAAATTATTTGATAAATAGTATTAAGGTAAGTGGATAGGAGCAGGAAAACTAGGATGTATCAACATTGTGGACTAAATAAGAATGAACTCTATGTAGCATAAAGGATTAAACATAAATAAAAAATTATGAGCTGAAATGTAATGAATTACTTATCAGATCAAAGTAAAAAGAACACTGCCATTTTGAAACGAAAAGAAAAAAAACTGATCAATTTGGGTACCAATGCCTTGCATGAAAAGAAAAGCAATACACAAATCAAAGAACAGCCTGAGAAATATGTGCATCACTGCGACAAAATATTTAAATCTAGAATAGAGACTTTAATCAAATTTACAAGGAAAACATCAGATACCAGAAAGATAAGTGAGCAAAGGCTTCAACAGATCAATCAAATAAGCAGGAAACAGAGCAAACAAGAACACGCAATCATGTTCAGGCCACTCAGTGGTCCAAAGAGCTACTATTCTAAAGCCACTAAGGTAGCAAGTCAGACAAATGAACAGGGCGGAGACTCCTGGACCATGCTGGAAGCCCCTTCATGGAGGCAGCATTTTATATTTGCTGCAACTTACTTATAAAGCAACACAGAGGAGTCAAATCCAATCTTGAGACTCGCAGGAAATCTTTCCAAAGAAACCATTAGTTCAGATTTTACAAGAGGATTATCTACAATGGTAAACAGAAGTCTAACAATAGGGAAATGTTTAATGAATTGTGCTGGATTATCTAGTATGCACAAAGTTATGAAGACTAGAAACATGGAAAATATTTAGGACTTAATGTGACCAAAAAAAAAAAAATGCAGTTTATAAAAGTGTAAATAAAGGTTACCCTTAGCTGCGTGGCTATAATGTGCCCCAGGCACTGTTTTGGGCATTTCCGTCACATTTCATTTAATCTTCACAATACCCTGCCACCCTGCCAGGAGAGTTATATTATTCTCATTTTATAGACGAAGATACTAGGGCAAAGTGATTAAATAAAGTGGCCAAGGTCACAGAGCTGGGACATTGTGGAGACAGACATGAACCAAGATAGGACTCCAATGCTGTATTTGTAACTACACTGTTTTACCTCTTTTATACACACATGATGGCTGCAACTAGGTGCCACCATGGATATCAGGAACTAATTCTGGATTAAATATGCAAATGTGAAATAACTGTGATATGGGAATAGGATTAATGTCAATTTAATTACAAAAACCCTCATCTTTAATGATATATGATCTACCCAATGCAAACAATCAAGCAATGAACTGGTGAACTCCAATTCCATGAGAAGTTTTAACTATATGTCTGCGTGTGTGCTCCGTCATATCTGACTCTTTGCAATCCCATGGATTGTAGCCTGACAGTCTCCTCTGTCCATGGAATTTCCCAGGCAAGAATACTGGAGTGGGTTGCCATTTCCTACTCTAGGGGATCTTCCTGATCCAGGGATCCCACCTGTGTTTCCTGCATTGGCAGGTGGATTCTTCACCACTGAGCCACCAGGAAAGTCTTTTAATTATACACATCCTTGGAAAAAGACCTGTCCAAAACTACTTCTAATTTCATTCTTTCCTGACAGGGCAGAACAGAGGGACAGAATACAGAATATAGCCATCAGATCACTGCACAAGGGTGAGGGGGGGAAGCCCAGGGGTACAGAGACCCAGCAGGAACCATGGAATCACAGAGCTGATGGGGAAGACAAGTTAGCTTCAAGACTACCAGGCAAGGACATGTGTACGAAGGAGGCCTATTTGCTTCCCCTCTTATACTAATCTAAGCTCCTATCTACTTACAGTGGGCAGGTATAAAGATAAAAGTCGGAGTCCCCGTAGGAAGAGCAGTGAGTACCCCATGTGTTTGTCTTTCTGTAAAAACTGAATCAGTGATGCTATGTGCAACCTGAGGGCAGGTACAGGCTCGCCCCTTGCCATCCAGGTGTGTGTGTGCTGACAGCAAAGCAAGACACTTCTTCTCAGGGCAGTGAGTTATTCACTCTTTTCCACAACTATATCTTCAAGTCTTTTGATTCTACTGGCACTTTCAGGATGATCTAAATCCTTGGTCAAATGTCAGATGACACTCTAACCACTGTCACCTTTTCTAGGTGGTGAATTAAAATAGAGGATGCTTTGGATTCTATTAGGCTTCCCTGATAGCTCAGTTGGTAAAGAATCTGCCTGCAATGAAGGAGACCCCGGTTTGATTCCTGGGACGGGAGGATAGGTTACCCACTCCAGTATTCTTGGGCTTCCCTTGTGGCTCAGCTGGTAAAGAAATCCTCCTGCAATGCAAGAGAACTGGGTTTGATCCCTGGGTTGAGAAGATCCCCTGGAGAAAAGAAAGGCTACTTCCTCCAGTATTCTGGCCTAGAGAATTCCATGGACTGTATAATCCATGGGGTCGCAAAGAGTTGGACACAACTGAGTGATTCTCACTTTCTTTAACTTTGGATTCTAATATGAAAGTTGGATCAGAAAACTTATGTTAAGAAGCACTGACTCTGGGGGTGGGGAAAACAAGAGAACCCCATCCCTAAACATTCTATGCTGTTTTTTCTTAAGTTGGCTTATATCATGAGTTTTTATTTTTATTTCAACTTTACTTCGACTTCTGGAAGTGTGCTCACCAACAAAAGTTTGCTTTCAATCCTTCACCATACTACTGACCCCCTTTACCCATTTCACCCTCCCTCTGCCCCCTTCCCCTCTGCTAAACACTACTCTGTACCATTTTACTCGGTCTTGCTCAGAAAGCCTCTCACTTTGTGTGAGATGACCACTATTGTGCTTAGAGCCAATTGTAATTCCCAGATTACAAGTGACACCCACTGTCCAACTACATCATCTGTGCAATCTCTTCAGAAGAACACCACACAAAGGGTCAGGGCAGAGCTCATTTGTCGTCAAGGCTTTTGAGGCAGGGAAAGTGAAAGTGGATGCTTGAACAGACGTCAACGTTTTAGGGGGGCAGAGGGAGCAGGTCTGGGGAAGGGAGGATGTGAAACAAGGCCCTGTAAATCTGATTTTACCGATACTACATCTTGGCCAGACCAGAATCAGTTATGTGCAAAATGATTAATCACCGTCTCCCTGAAATATTCAAGGTCCTGCTGCCTATTCTTAGGATGGAAAAAAATCTAATGCTGAAATATGACTTTCAGGCTTTTGTTCATTCTATACCCTTTTAATAAAGCAGGACACAAAATTTTGCCTTGGGCTTGGCTGAGTTATGGGATTTATCTCCTAAGTGGCAAAGCTTCATCCCTCAGCCCCATCCACCAAACTGTGCCCAAGTTATAGGAAGTCTGCGAAAGAAGGAAAAATGTGGGTGCTGTCCCTAAGGCATCCATCTATCAGATGCAATAATTGCTCCAAGAGACAGATTTTCTCTTTATATTTATAGAAAAATAGTCACCGCAGAAGAAAATGAATTTAGCTAATGGGCAAATGTGGATGGCGCTGCATGGCGGATACTCTGACAAATGTGGCTGATGAATTACATCCTGCCTCCATCACTGCTGGGAGGGGAGGGAAGCAGGACAAATTCTTGGACATTATTGAGACAATGGCTTCAGCTGGGTCCCCACCTACCTTCTCTGCATACTCAGACACGATCTGCTTGATCTCGGCAGAGCATAGGCCCACGATCTGGCCCACGGAGCTTGCGGTCAGCCGGCTCTGCAATCACAAGGGAGGGTGTGCTCTTAAGGCCACACACTGGCTTTCACACATTGGAAACCCTGGGCATGACTATAGCAAAACAGATAAACATTCCCGGGGGAAAAGTAATTTGGCTTTTCCTCACGTGTTCATCAACAAGGGAGAAAATAAGCCTCAGGACAAAGGTTACCACACCTCACTCCCTCCTGCATCACTCAGCAAGCTCTGTTGAGATTCTGCTCAGACCCTGGGTATCTCTAGAAAATCATTCTTCACCATTTACAGCCTGTCCCACGGTTTCTGTTGCTGAGGATCACTAAAAAGAGCCTGCAGGGAACTTGGCAGGCACAGGACTCAGAGGAAGGGAGTGGAAATGGGAGAGGAAAAGGGATCTCAGAATTCCTGATCCATCTGCCGACTGTCACGGGTCTTTCCTGCCGTAAAGAGGGATTTTCTTTCAAAGCACCTGGATAAACACTCGGGACAGGTGATGGGCTCTGAGAAGAGGGAATATAAATTCGGTGCCGAACCATCTACCCAGATGGTGTAGGAAGTAAACAGGAGACAGGGGCTCCTGTGGCCTGAATGCCACATGTGGTTGTGGACAAGCAGGGCGGAACCTCAGCTGTCCCGCACGGGTCCTGTGATGCCATCCAGCTGGGACATCCTGTCTTCACAAAGGTCCTTCAGGTCTCCCTCCGAGAGGTTCCCGTGAATAGCAACACCGTGCATGTATAAGAAGTTCCCCAAAGAAAGATCCCAGGAAAACAAGAGGCAGAGTGCTAACGAGAGAGGGCCCTGAAGGTGGACTCTTGGGAGAGGGCCCTCCACGGCAGAGCAGGTTGGTTCCCAGCCTCCCTCTCCACGGCGCGCCCACCCTCACGGCCATGCCTGCCTCACCTCCTCATGTGCCATGGCGGTCATCGTGGTCATCAGGGACTGAATACGCTGCTAAAAGAGGAATGGGGAGAAGCAGCAGTGAGCAGGTCTGCCACAAAAGGCTTAAGCCGGGTATCCTAACATGGCTTTTCAGCAGAATCCAAGGGCTGTTTTACCCAGTCTCATTTTATGGTGAGTCTCACGAGAGGTGATGGAAGGAGACTGAAAGGAGTGTGAGAAAACAGCCAATGGTAGCTGGCCATTCTGGAAAACTGGAGATGAAAGTAAAATCTCTCTCCAAAAGATTTATGCAGAAACCCTAGAGGGCCACACGGACCACTCACCTCTTCAGCAGCTTGAAGCTCATCCTCCTCGTGGGCGTCAGCTTTTTCTGCAGTCAACAGCCCTGTCGGAAGTGCCGTTTTCTTGTCCTCAGCCTGGAAGGGAAGATGCAAAAACTGCAGCTGAACACTATAGGTGGAGACAGTAGAGAAAGGGTAACACTGCAAAGAGCTGTAAGTCTGTGAAAGAAATATACAGATCTGGACAAATGACCCAGCCCCTGGAAAGGATGCAAAACCCAGAGACCTCAGCCTCTGCTCCAACCACATGCCAAGCAGGTGGAGCCTTGGGCCTTGCTCAATGCCTGCCTCCATCTCTGAACTACTCGCTGATTAAATTCCTATCAGGCCATACACCTTTGCCAGACTTATCTATGCACTGTGATTGGGTCTTCCCCTACTTTAATTTCTTTAAGACTAGATCACTGCCATTTTTTCATCTGAGGTGCATTAGTGGATATGAAAGCAATTTGGCAGGTATGACCGGCATCTAAATAGAAATAACAGAACATATCAGGGTGCATTACAGGGAGTAAAGAGTACTGCTTTGTGAAACTTGTTTTGGGGGTTGTGTGTGTGTGTGTGTCTACTAAACCATGATGAAAGTAATGCCTACTACCAAGAGCTGTCAACAAAGCTTGAAAATCGCTGGTTTAAAGGATAAGACTCTAAGCTGCTTGTCCTGATGCTCAAGCTCCATGCTACAAACCCAGCTCAGGCTCAAAATATATCGCACCACACTCAGGACACCTGGAGTCACGGCTGCTCCCCAGGCCTGTGCTGTGAGTCTAGAGTTCTTGGTTTCAGCTCCATCTTTGCCATTCACAAGCTGTTGACCTCAAATTTACCTTCTCTGGATATTAGGGTCTCTTGGGGTTGAATGAGAGGACTGGCCTCAAATATCCTTCTGAGACCATCCCAATTCTGGGTTGTGCTTTTATAACAAGCATATGACTGGCTGCAGGGGCCGGCCTGAGCACCTGTGTGTATCTTCAGGGAATAAGACTTCCAGTTCAAATGTGCCATCTGACATGAGAATGATAAGGCAAGGCCAATGTGAATAATATTTCATGGACATCTCATAATTTTTCCAAGCATAATCAAATTGCCTTATTTCAGAATACAGTCATATACACATTCTTTTAAGACCTAAAATTATATATTACACACACACATCAAATTCTTATATACAATACAGTTACCCCATGACACTCTAATCCAGAAAAGCCTTGCTTTGGAGGAAATGGCTGTTTGGTTGAGTGAAAACACAAATGTGGAAGTGAGAAAACCAAAAAAGATGTCATAATCAATGCATAAATGATTATTAATGATAATAATGGTGACGACAGTTTACACTTAGTAAATGTGCACTATGAGTTGGATTATTCTGCATCTTTTACATTTTAATCTTCACAACAGTGTTGTGAGATAGTACAACTTCTGTCCCCATTTTACAGATGTCATAAACTGAGGCACAACAATGAAGTGTACTGACTGAAATCACGCAGTGAAGGGGAGGAACTAGCATTGAAAGCCAGTCTGGCTTTAGAACATATGCACTTCAGTGCCCTGTGAGGACTAAGACAATGGCCACAGGAAGCAGAGGGAGGCTGGGGTCAGGGAAGGCTTCCGGGAAGCACTGGGGAATGGGGTCTAGACAGAGGAGGGGCGGCAGGAGAACGGTAGGGGGAGTGGTGTCTCATTCAAGAAAATCTAGGGGTCAGGTAGGGAATGAGAGAACAGGTTTACCAGATCTCAAGCTGTGGACTCTTTCAGAGGTCACCAGCCACTTTAGTTGGCACATTATTACTGAAAAGGGAGTAGGAAAGAGCACAGGCTCTGATGTCACACAGACCTGGGTTCAGGTTCTTTTTATGGCACTCTAGGAGCTGTGTGATCTTGGACAAATCACTGAGCCTCTCTGAGCCTCAGCACTTTGATCTGAAAAACAGGAATAAGTATCTTCCTCACAGAGTTGTTTAGAGGAGTAAGTGAAAAGCTACACGTAGAGCCCTGACCAAAGGGCCTGGACACAGGAAAGGGTAGCAGTGTAAGATTTATACGCCTGCCCTGCTGCTGGCAATCAAGAACCATGAATAAACACATACACACAAAAAGGATATGAATGAAGAGAAAACTTGGAGACTCCTTTATGAAGTTATAAAGCCCCATCTTGACTTCCTGTTTCTTCCACTCCAGGCTTAATACATAGCCAGCCTGTAATGTACACCGCGCTCTCACTGCCAGCAGGCTGTTCACACCCATCTAGGGCATCTCTCATCAGATGAGGATGCTCAGGCCCCCGTTTTAGAGTTATTAAAGCCCACATGTTTGACCCTGGGGCCATGATTTTCAACCACCCTTCATTTCCAGTCCTGTGATGAGGAGTTGTCGCAGTTCCCCAACCTGCAGAGGCAGCAGATGGGGAACGCCAGGAGGGAGCTGCAGGGGTCAAAGCAGCTGGTACACCCCTGCTGACCGGGGTCACTCAAGGACCAGAGCCCTGTGTCCCATCCCTTTTGGGAGCCTGCCAGTGTCAGACAGAGGCAAAGCAGAAGCATACTTCCATATCTCAAATATGCTCTCCCATCAGCCAAGCATTTCTTACCTTCTCTGTTTTGCTCTGGCGGCTAAATCCATATCTCCTGCAAGCCACAAAAGAGAGGAGCTCAATTATTACTCCCAAAAAAAAAAAAAAAAAAGTTGATCAAATGAATTTCAGTTGCACTTTTATATGAAAAGCACCAGAGAGAATTTTGGCTATTTGGTGACTGGAGAACATGTCTCAAGTGCTGAAACCACAAACTTATCCCACTGTTTCTGAATAAAGGGCCCAGCATTCAGATTGCCACATAAATACTGTCAATATAAATGGGAAGTCTCCATGCAAAGCACAGCGTTCTCTTAAAAGTGTGATTATGACTGTTTGAATCGGGAACCATACCGATCCATAGTTTAAGCTAGAAGCCTTAAGAATATCTGTATGTGTGAATGTGTTTGCTCAAGCTTAACATGCTCTCTAACGATCTACTTTCATAACCTCACATCCAGCCCATTTTTATTCTCAAACACAACCCAAGCACAATGCCAAAAATGTTGTGTGCTCACTTCGCGCAAGTTTAAATTCAAAGACACTCACAAATGCACTTTGGTTTAAACTAGCTTATTTTCAGGTTCTAATTAATATCTATTTTTTTAAAAAGCAATACAAAAACCAGTCAACCTAAAACAAAAACCATAATGCAAAACACCCAAACTCACTTACCTTTAAATGGTTTAGAAGGAAATAAAATCACACACAACCATTTAAGAAAAACAAATTAAGGGGCCCTGCTCTGCCCTCACTCACAGCTCACCCCACTTGCTGGGTCGTGTGCTGGCTTCTGCCCTTGTCTCAAGCCTCCACTTCCACTCTCCCACCCAATCCCTTATCCAACCTCCCACTGGCCTTATCCGCATCCGGCAGGGAACAGAAGCCCTCCTGGTGGGCCCTGTCCCGAGGGCCTCCTTTCCAAGGACCCGCCGAACAACCGCTGAGCCTCACCCCAGCAGCTCACCTTCCCTGCTCCTGGGCATCAGCGCCCCGAGCAGAGTTCTGTTCTCCTGTCTCCGCCTACCTTTCTAGTCACTCCTCATATCCCAGCTCTAAAGCCACCTCTTCCTCTGAAGCATTCCCAGACTTCAATTTGGATGCTTTTGGTCATTTCCAAAAGTCAGCTCCGCTCAATCTGAGAATCTCAATCTAGGGCCAGTGCTTTGCCAGACATGAGTGTGAAGGGAAACACACATTTGGGCAGCGGATTTCTCAGGACTGGGCTGACAAACCACAGGCTTAGCTTACAGTTGAGTCTAGTGCACAGGGTAGGTTGGGTAGTAGAAGGTCAGGACACTGGGTTTAGGTTCTTCACCCTGATGACAGCCAGCTCTGTGACATGGGGGAAATTGCTTCACCTCTCTGAGTTTTGTACCACTGATATGGGATTATAGACGTGATCTCAAGCCCTGTTTAACCAGCTTCCGAATGATTTCTGTAAATTACCACTGAGGATATAGGAGGGTTAGGAGACACAAACTATAGGCTGTGCAGTTTGGGCTGGACACGTTCAGCTACACCAGCGCTCTGATCTATCCCTGTGCCTGTACGTGTTCCCCCTACTTTCTGATCAGCAATCATGTCCAGCTGCCTGTTTGCATGTCTGCATCCTTCTCCAAGAAAATGCCGAAATCAAGAAGCCAAATGTACCCCCTGTCCTTGCAATAGGCTGTCTTATAACTGGAGAGACCAGAAGTCATTGCCGGGTACACTGTGCCCACCCACAGATCGACAGGCCCATAGTGCAGGAGAGCAAAGTTCAGTTCCGAGTGTCCACCCAAATCCTGTACAAGACCTTTTGGCAGAGTCTGTGAACTGGCTTAGTCAACATCCAGCACCTTTCTAAGCTGTGCAGGCCAGAAAACAAACAGCTCTATTTTCCACATTCCCTTGTACCCAGAGTTCTGAATACTATTTAAGTTCCATCGATGAGATGCATTTGCTGGAATTTTGAATGTGCAACAGTTAGAGCAGGAAACAGTGAGAGCATAAGGGGTTCACTGTGCTCATGAGGATCACAGTAGAAGTAACCTGATTCTGGGCCAGAAGCTGTGACAGTGGTTTTCTGATCTTGGAAAAAGCGGGTGGCTCTTTTCCCAGCAGCTGTGGTACCAGCTTCCCACCTCCACAGGCTATCTGCCAGCTTCCTGACCTCAGAGGCAGCAGCAACATCCTCGGCAGCCCAGATCTACTGTGATGCTTGGGCAGTAACCGTGCTCAGTCCAGATCACATGCCTTAACTCTTCCCATCCACCGCTGTAATCAATCCCTTCTGCTGGAACTAGTGGCCGGGTTCTGAGTCTGAAACAGGGACTCAAACAGCTGACCAACAGAGGGTCTCTCCAAAGTTTCCCACTCCTTGAAGTGTCCTTGTACCCTGGGTATTCTTTTGTTTCCCAAGCCTTCAGTCTCTGGAGACCTTCAAGGGCAGAAGACATATCCTTAGACAGGCAGGCCTTCCAAATAAAGAAGTACACAACTAAATCTGAGTAAATTCAATTCCCAGGTCCAAGCTACTTCTCCTTAAAGACAGAGGCTCAGGAAGACTTCTCTGACCACCCCAAGCTAGGCTCCTGTGCCTGCCCACCTTTATGCTCTCACTGTCTCCTCCTCTGCTGCACTTCCAAAACTCCAGGAAACGCATCTCAAGGGCAGAACCTAAATAGCATTCACAACTCTAAGTGCAAGGGAATATGCAAAATAGACTTGCCTGTTTTCTGGCCTGCGCAGCATAGAAAGATGCTGGATGCTGACTAAGTAAGGTTTGCACAGGATTTGGGTGGACATGTGCTTCCGTGTTGACACTAACAAAGCACTCGCACTCACCGCACGGGGCACAATTATTCCGTATTACAGGCACTCTGTCTGCTGAGTCCTGGAGGGGAGGAAATCTTCTCCACTCACTTTTTTTCTCTACACTTTTAAAGTTGACATTTAACTCATATAACATAAAATTCACCACTTTAAAATGCATATTTAGCAGTTTTTAGTGTATTCACTACTTTGTGTAACCAGTGCTGTGCCACACATATAAATTTAGATTAGTATTCACTTAACCACATATTTAAACATACTCAAATAACGAAAGCATGCATTTAAAAATTTTAACTTCATTATTAAAATTTTGTTTCTAAGCCACACTAGTCACACTGTAAGTGCTCAAAAGTCACATGTGGCTAGTGACCACTATACTGGACATCATCGTTCCAGAAAACAAACATTCTAGTCTTCTTCCCTGGGGCACATTAAGACAGATATCAAATTACCTGGAATCCAGAACAAACCAGGGACACAAAAAGCGCTAAATACTAAGGACAATGGATTCTGTGCTTCGTTCATTCAATGAGCATTCACTAAACACCTCCTGTGAACATGTCATGGGCCTTGAGAAGGAACACAGGTTCGGAGAGAGATGTTACACGCACTCAAAATGCACTTCCTCACACTGGAAGTTTCATAGTGCGGTTAGGTGTTTCAGTTAGCTCCTAAAAGTTTATTGAACCCATAATGTAATTGAAATATTATAAAGACACACTGTGTTTCAGTTTAAAATCAAGACTATGAGTCTTGTTTTTCCAACGACATAATATTCACATGTTTTTAACAAGACATACGGTCCTTAAGACCCTCAGCATAGTCGTCGAGGCTCAAAATCTACCCTTGAGCAACTGAAAGTCCAAAAGGGAGCAGAAACTGGGGTGCTGGCCTCAAAGCCAGATGCTCTGTGGACCCAGGCTGAAAGACCTTTAACTGCAAAGAGGATACACTGTGTTCAGACCTTCTTACTTAGCAGTCAACATATCTCCCCTCTCATCAAGAGGAGAAAGGGAGAGCACTGACAACAAATGAGGGATTTAGACTCCTAGCTGGGAATGAGCAACTAAGGGATGCCGCAACGGTGAGGCCCAGAGCCAGCAGGGGGCCAGCCTTGCTTGATGAGGAAGGGAGGCAAAGAGGGTAAGGCTTCTCTTAAATGGGCTGGAGGGAGGACTAGAACTGGGGGGAATGAGAACACATGGACAAGGAAAACTGAAAAAGAGAGGCCCAGGATACGATTCTCATTTGAATCCAAAAGTCTTATTTATGAGCATCTGAAAACCAAAACCTGCTGCTGCTAAGGATGATGAAGATGGTGGTGGTGGTGATGATGTGGTGAACAGACTGTCACAGTCCCTCATAAAGACACTGCTATGTGACCCTCATCTAATGGAGAGATCTCCATGCAGTGGAGAGCACCGACTGGAACCCTGCGAGAAGAGCCTGACAGCCAGATAGGAGGACGTGGTCTTCCCAAGCAAGGGGAATAAGTGAACCACTTCTCTGGGCTGTAAGTTTTATCCCATTTGCTCTGTCAGTTGTAATAACTCTTCAGTTGTTCAGTCTCGGAGCAAACAAAAAGGACTGGGCCTGTCTTCCCACGACCAACAACCAAATTCTCACCAGAGGCTCAAACAACATTTTTAGATAATGATGATGACATGCTTTTGGAGTCCAACAGACCTGAGCTCAAGTCCCAGTTTGAGGCTCTTACTAGTTCTTAATAGTTAACAGTTGACCTTGGGCAGGTTATTTTTTAACCTCTGTGAATGCTGTCTTCATCATTCTCAAAAAGGGGAATGAACTGAATAAACCATCAGAATTCCCCACCTTCACAGATTCACCCTCCCCTTATCAGAAAAGCTAAAAAAAAAAAAAAAAAAAAAGCAAAATAACCCCATCTCCTAAAAAACAAACAAAAAAAGCCTTCACCAAGCAGCTACCCCAGGCTTAGAAATCAGGAGCCAGCATGACCCCACCAAGAACTAAGGTGAGTACTGAGACACATATTGGATATTGGGAAAAGAAGATGGTATGAACCATACAAACTAACAAAAAACACATTTCCCTGAGTTCTTTTTGGCTCTAGGACATGTGAGACTCGCAGAGGCTGTCTCTCCAGCTCTGGCTCATGTGGGCCAGCACAGCCTTGTCTGCCCTCTTGCAGCAGGGGGGTGGCTAGAAAGCCCCCATCACAGCATCCAGTTGCACAAGCTCCCACACCCCAAAGGAGCCCACACTTGGTTGCTGCTGCTGTCATGAAATTCTTAATGATTAATCATTACTCATAACTCTTAACATGGGACCCTGCATTTTCATTTTATATTGGCCCCTGCAAATTATGGAGCTGGTCTGGAGGTGCCTGATTCAGAAGAGGCTTTCAAATCACAGCAGCGAATGGTGAGCATGGGGCAGCCCTCACATCTAGACTAGGGCCAGAACTAACAACTTCCTTTTAATGAAACGGACTAGCTTTCATTCTTAAGAGCCGGCATTACTCTCTCAAAAACAAACAAAAAGTGGCAATTGCAATTCCATTTGAGAAATGGAATTAGTAAGGCAATTAAACCCCAATTTCCTTCTGGTTCTCTCCAGCATCCTAGAGGCAGAAGCCACAGATGCTCACTAGGAGACGCTTGGCAGTGCCGTTAGCTCCAGCCCCACAGTGAGGGCTGGGTCATGGGCAGAGCAACACACAGCAACCACTCAGACGAGAGGGGAGGAAGCACCAGGAGACATACTCACATCAAGGGATCAGCGACCCTAAGTAGAAAATGCAGGACATAAAGGAAGGTTAATGCCCAGAGTCAAGCAAAAAAAATTCATCGAGGAGTGGCACTTCTGTGTGTTTAACTGAAAAACTGAGGCCACCAGAATGTTTTTAAAATTAGAGATATTTTTAAGAAGTGACAAAACAACTTCTAAATTCTTCATTTTTCTGGTCAGGACAATTCTTCACAGGAAACCAAAACTAGTATCTAACACAAAGTAAAGCTGCTTTAACTGCAGCTTCCCTGAACATGTTTACAAATGGCAGGGGCAAGGAGGGCAGCCCACCCAAGCCTCGCACCCAAGCCTCAAGCCCTGACTCCCCGAGGAGGGCAGAGCTGGGGCGGGGGAGGAACTTCAGAGATCAGGCCTCTACCACCAGCAGGGAAGCTACCCCCAGAAACTGGACTCATTCAACACTGGAGGGAAAAGTACTTGGTGTTGTTAATCTTGGGCCCAGAACTGTAAACTCGACCAGGTGAAAACCAACGAAGTTCATCTCAATGAAGTGATTTAAATTAGTTTTTCTTTTCAACGGTTTTATCAAATAGACACTTATAGACTGGGTCCCCTTCATTACCGGCCATATTCCAAAAGTGTGGCATGGATCCGAGACTCTTCATCCGGCAGCTCCTCTGCCCCCTGCTGGCGTTTGTATTTCCGACGAGGCTTGTAAGCATCCTAAGAAGTGGATGAGGTGGAGAATTACTGAGGGTGAAGAGGCGGGCCTGGCCTGCCAGGGGTGGGCCTTCCTCCCCAGGGTGGGGGTGTACAGCCGGCATGGGGTGGCTGCCTTCAAGGACTCTGCCCTTTTTTTTTAATGTTGTGGCAAATACTTCCACCCAAGCCATTGTTGTCAGCTTTGCTTTATCTTGGCTGGGTCTTTTTCTATCCTATGACGCTTTAATATTTCAAGCAGTCAAATTCATCAATCATCTGTTCTCCTAACTCAGGGACTGTTTTATATGTTACTTTTATAGATTATATTTAACCTTTTAATCTATTCAGAATTTCCTCTGGTATAGTGAAAAGTTGGTATGTATAGATATATTTTTCTCTGAATGGAAAATTAAGAATCCCAACATCATAAGTTTAATAGTCTATCCTTTCCTTGATTTAAAATGGCAAACATACATACATAAAACATGTACCAATATTATCCTCTGCAATGCCTCTTGTTTAATGAATATCCTGTCTCCATTGTTCTTTTTCAAATTTCCTGGACATTCTTACACATTTTCTCTTTCAAATGAATTGCAGTATCAGCTTGTCAAGTTCATTATGAAAAACTGTTGAGCTTGGATTAGAATCACACCAAATTTACAGATTACTTTGGGAAAATCCAACATCTCTATAATACTGAATCTTGCCTTGAAAAGCAAGATTTATCTCTATTCAAATCTTTTTCATCCCTTAATAAAATTTTCCAGAAAGAAATACAAATTTTTCACAGTCACTACATATCCACACCTTTCTACCACCCAGAGACATAAATGGCAACAACCACTGATATACATGTTAACCTACTATACTTAGAAAAAAATTCTTTCATGGCAAAAGAAATCTCAAATTCTTAAACTCTAATACCAAAAAAGGAATGCTGATATAAACCCTTCAGAGATATATATATTTTTACAAAAGTCTTTGAGGTTTATCCTCAGGAAAAAATCTTATAAAACACCAAATGCATTATAACCTTTCAATGACTTTTAAATTATTAGAGTATTATTTAGTTATAAATATATAAATATAGATCCATTTTGTGTAGGACACATACTGAAAGTGCACATATATATATTTCCTAAACAAAGTATATGGCATGTAGTAGGTGCTCAATTAATGTAGGTCATCACCCTGAGATGACCTGGTTTACCATTCTACCCCAAATATATGCCCTTCTTGACTGCCACCTGGCATCAAATAATACCTTACTAATATTTGTTCGGGGCTCCAGGTACAAGTAGGCAGGGTTTGTGAAAGGTTTTCAGTTTGGATCTTTTCTTTCCCACTGGCAGAGTCTGCTTGGTGGCTCAGATGCTAAAGACTGCCTGCACTGTGGGAGACCCGGGTTTGATCCCTGGGTCGGCGAGATCCCCTGGAGAAGGCAATGGCAACCCACTTCAGTATTCTAGTCTGGGAAATCCCAGGGACAGAGGAGCCTAGCGGGCTACACTCCACGGGGTCACAAAGAGTCGGACATGACTGAAGCGACTCAGCACATACACATACATAAAATCTCCACTTGGACATCTCCAGAACAAGCACTACCATCTGGCTTCTCCAGACCGTGGCATTTTTAGATAATCAAAATGGTTCCCCTCTTGATAATTCTGGTTAACTTTATTATCATCTCACTTTTTATTATGAAAAGTTTCAAACATACAGAAAAACATCCCTTCTGTAACATCTGTCATTTCAACTATTCTGTGAAAAAGAAATGAAACAGGTTCTGGGATGATCCTGGCGGGTGGTTTTAACTCGCTGCCGCAAGTATTCCTGTTTGCTGCTGGTGCCTACATGAACACGAACAGGAAGCTATAAATAACAAATCAGATTTATGGGGAAATGAAAACCGTAATAAACTGGCATGACATCAGTTACTGTGTACGATTTAATTTCCATGGAGCTCTACGATTACAGCGGCACTATATAATTGAGCTTAACTGCTACCTTCCTTAGTTACCATTCATAGAGTCAACGACCCAGACAGGAAGCTGGCTTCTTCTAAAAGAGCACTGACTCCAAAACAACAGCATACTTGAAACCAACAGCACAAGGACCTTTTAATCAGCCAAACAATGACAATGTTGGCCTTTGTGCAATTATTCCTTATACTTTAAAGTACCTCACCACATCTCACTTTTTGCATTTTATAACTATACTGTGGGCAGAAGCAGGGCAGATGCTATTATCTCCACCTTGCTACTAAAGCAGCAGAGAACAAATAATTTGTCCAGGATTGCTAGAATAGGTACCCAGGTTGCTAGTCCCAAGGTTTCCTACTATACTAACTTGCCCCACTAGTCACTTCAGCTGAGCCCTCTCATGAGACTACACAATGTGAAGTGGCCACATGGATCATTACAGTGGTTTGCTTAAGTAAAGGACCTAAATGTTCCCAGGCCAAGCATGAAGAACTATTACTAGGTCACCCTTCAAAGAAACGAGTCAGGAACACTGATGTCTAGTCCTGTCTCTGCCATTAACAAGCTGTATGACCCTGGGAAAGGCAGTTTCCCTCAATGGACCTTTTCCCATATCTGCGCAACGAGGGCTGGACTAACAGATTTTGAAGGAGACTCCTAGTCTCTCATTCTTTGTGTTCTTTTAACCCTGAAAAGATAACGAGTTGGTAGCATAATTCCATCAGCAATTTAAAGTCAGAGGTTATTTTTTAACTATGCTTTCTAAAAAACATAACTTTAGTTTTTAAAAGGTAGACAAAAATCAATTTTTCTTTGGCCATTAACACTGGCAGTAATAGTAATTGTTATCACTTATTGAATGCGTGGTATGTGTCAGGCATATACTGCTCTATATGTGCTACCCACTTGACCAATACCCAGGAGGGCAATGATCTCTGTTTTATGTATACAGATGATGGAACAGGCACAGAGATTAAACAGCTTGCCTATGGTTACAAACACAAAAAACGAGAAGAGAAGAGATGACTTCAGAACTGAGACTCGTAAGCACCTGCATGATGAGTCCTACCTCAACTGTGATCACCCTTCCTGCTGGGCTCTGATCATCCGCTCAGCATATGCCAAAGGAAACATGAGTGTGGCTGGGGTTAAAAAGTTAATGTGACCCCTCTGTAAAGCAGAGACTGTGTACAGTGAGTGGCCCAGCTCTCCAATTCGCAGGACTGGCTACAAGTCAGGTTCACCCATCAGAGCCATTCCTCTGGTCACATTCCAAATGGCGGGGAAGGGTGGGAAGAGTTCAGCTCCACAGCTGTGTCTGCAGCAACGCCCCAGTCACTGCCTCTCAGCTACGGCAGGCAACCCCTTCAGGAAATGACCAGTGGGCAGCAAGACAGCCACCGACAGCCACTGCCCTCCAGGGCTCCAGGGGGCTGGACCACACCATACGCTGCGGGGAGCATGTCTCATTTTCCCAGAGCCCACCTGGCAGCCCAAACCTGGCTCTAACAGATACCTCTGCCCACCAGTCGCTGAACAAACACAGATGCTGCTGCGTCGCTGCAGTCGTGTCCGACTGTGCGACCCCATAGACGGCAGCCCACCAGGCTCCCCTGTCCGTGGGATTTCCCAGGCAAGAACACTGGAGTGGGCTGCCATTTCCTTCTCCAATGCATGAAAGTGAAAAGTGAAAGTGAAGTCGCTCAGTCGTGTCTGACTCTTAAGCAACCCCACGGACTGCAGCCCACCAGGCTCCTCCGCCCATGGGATTTTCCAGGCAACAGTACTGGAGTGGGGTGCCATTGCCTTCTCTGAACAAACACTGCCTTCCACCTAAAGGGGCTCCGCTGATGTCCCCACCAGCAAGCACAGGGCCCTAAAACATCCCCTAAGAAAAAATTATTCTGAGACAAAGAGGTTTGTCTTCATTTTCGCATTAATAAAACCACCACTACCACCACCACAAAAACGAAGCCCCTGGGAACTGAGTGGAATGGTGAGATAGACAGATGGTAGTCATGTCTGTGGGTAGAAAGTTAGCTGGAGAGGAAGGTTTGCTCTAGACACCCCCTAAATCTTGCTCTCTTACAACAGCTCCACTATGCAGGTCTGCGTTCTGCTCCGTGAGGTCAAGTGTAAGCCCCATTCAGACCCCTTATATCTGTACCAAACAGCTTAACACGTGGGTAAGAAAGAGGCTGCTGTTTTGTATACATGAGCCAAGATGGCTTCTGTATATTGACTCCTAGGTTTATTTCTTCACAGCCTGCTGAGACCCACTGCTCAAAACCCTCCAACTCTTTACACATCCAATTATTCACAAGATGCCCCACTGAACAGAGTTTTAGCCATTTACAGCCTGTCCATACTGCATGCTCTGCAAAACTGCCCTGTCATTTCTGAACCACAGACAGGAGAGGCCCGAGACCACCCCAGGCTGCCGCTGCCCTTCAAATCTCTCTAACCCAGCAGGGGCTTCCTGCCCCCACCCCTGCCCCGGGCTCCCTCGCTTTCTTTCCTCCCCTTCTGATCTGTGGCCCCTGTGCCTAGGCCTCGGGATGGCTGCACACTGTGAGGGCCTCCCCAGCCTGCAGGCAAGCCTGTTAAAGCATCGCCTAAATAGAGCCTGTGGTGCTCTGGCCCTGACCCATCACATCTTGCCCGATGATGAGCCCCAGAGCCTCCTGCATCCCTGCTGCAGTGTCCCGACTTTCACCCCACACTCCAGGATGCAGCTGGGCACACAGTAAATGCCTAGTTATTAATACTATTATGGAATGAACATATGGAGTCAGACAGACAGGGCTTAATCCTCGCCCCTTTGCTATCTGTCTGGTTTGGGGCAAATTACTTTAACCCCTGAGGTTTTTCATCTGTGAAACAGGTATAAGGAGAGAGACATAAGGATTAGCCAATCTATCTAACATATCTGGCACACGTTAAGGGTTAAGATATACATACATGTGTGTTTTTGCTATTACCAATAAAATGTACCAATACATATTTTTTCTTATGTTGCCATATGTACATTTTATG